GAAGTACTGGGGTCAGCTTCTAGGGTAGTCATTTGAGAGCCCTATTGCAAACCACTTGTAGAAAGTGCAGTGCTTGTTCTGGGAAGGAATTTTTAGCTGGCTGAGAAATACAATTAGTGGCATACCAGCACCTGCAGAAGAGACAGTAAGGTTGGTCTAAGCCAGGGGTTTTCAACCTGTTTGGATCAGTGTACCCCTGGCAGCCAGATGCACAGTTGTCTTTTAATGGCCACACTTTGGGGAGAATCAAGCCTTTGATAACTTCTACACTTGGCCTCCAAAAGTATCATGTCTGCTTAGAGAAAACAGTTGGAGTGAATACCTATGTAAATTTAAAATATAACCTTTTTATTTCTGTTGCTAGCTCTCAAACCTGTGTAATTACAAAATGAGAAGACATGTCTCTTCCAACTTCTTGAGAAGAGTGAATGTATAAGTAGTTGTGGGTAGATTGAAATTTTTCTAATGATCTTATAACAATAAAACCCATACACAGAAGGTCATGTATTTTGGGCAATACATGATCTTCCATTATTGTCAAAAGAACAAAGAACAAAATTTGATGGATATTGATGTTCACTTGGAACAACTACAAACAGAAGTACTGGAGGAAGCAAAAGTCTGTTGCTGAGGCTTAGCTGATGATATATAATCTACTACTTGATGCACGTTAGCAGACTTTGTGAAAAATTAAATGCTGTTTGGTCTGGATTCAGTGAAGCAAAGTGTGTATCTGAAAGCCACATCAGGTCTTGAGGCCATTTTTACAGGATTCATCCTCCACTGCAGATTCCCAGGGTATTACAGTGTAATGTGTGCCCTGCTCAGTGAAGCCATGGTGAGTAGTAGTTACTCACCATTTGGCAACAACCTGTAATGCATGTGCAATAGTCACAGTCCATCTGTAGGAAAGACCTACAAAACTAGCCTCCCCGTTGGTGCTCTTGCCCCAGGGACAGAAGTTACCCATAAACTGGTATAAGTGATTGGAAACCAGTTCAGATCTATAATGCAACAGAAATTCAGTGCGCATAAACCACTTTCAAAATGGCCGAAACCGGTTTTAAATCAACCTGGATGAATGTAGTATCAGACTTAACTGATTTAGGTTAAATCAGTTTATTGAACTTCTGTCCCAGATCCCCTCCAGATTCAAGTTAACTCACAGTCCCCCAGCATCCCAGGATGCTTTGCACCTCCTCTGCAAACCCCCTCTCTGGGTGGTAGGGTTAGCCTTGACCTAAGCTGTCTGCTCCAGCTGAGCAGGGAGATGTGCTCAGTGCCCCCCAGCTTCTGGTGTGGGTCACTGCAGGCATGTGACTGCATTTCCTAATTAAAATGTGAATGTCTGTTCACTTGACTATTGGTTCAGTCTAACCTATGAAAATTGAATTGATTCAGCCTTGGGCTTTTTGACTGTCTGTACTTAGCCTTGATGATAATCTTTGTAGAAAGACCCATGGCAATGAGCACTGAATAGATCAGCCCTTCTCCTTGTGGCACAGTGAAAAGCAGCATGTGGGAAACTTATGCCTATTCTGTGAGTAGGCCAAGAGAATTTGCATTTAAGGACTTTCAGCCTGGTATCTTTCACTCACATACATAAATAAATTGTGTTCTTAGTATAGTACTTGCCCTGTCCTTCATCACCAGTAAGCAGAGTGGCCACAGTGATCCACAGGATAGCCATACTTGTGGTCACAATGTGGAAAGTAAATTCTTTATACAGGATCCACAGCTTTTTCCCCCTGCTCATCAACATCCTTTCCCTGTAGGTATTATGAGAGTAAAAAAAAAAAAATGCCAACACCTAGGACTTTGCTTGGCAATTTGAGATCTGATGGGTACTGTGGCAATTTGCAACAAGCCGGGCAGCTGAGCAGAAATTCTGCGCATGGAGAATTAACTGTTGGGAGTTTTGAAGAAATGTAGTAACCCTTATGACCTGCTGTATTATTGTAACTGAGGTCTATTTTTTTAGTGAATGCAAACCTTTTGTTGGCTCTCATACAAAAAAGCACCATAAACGGTGACAGTAATGTTGCTAAGATACTGTTTACCTGCAAAATGTATGTCGGTGTGATGTAGGAGGTGACCATGGGAACCAGTTTGATAGCAATTATTTAAAGAAAACCTTACAGTAAAATGGTCCTTGTATAGTTGCTAGGTTTTATTACAACAGCTGCACACAGAAAGCTCGTTTCAGAGAACAGGGTCAATATAGGTCCTGCATAAAAAAAATACATGAGTAGGACAGGTATTTTTGCTGTATATTTTACAGAGCAATTTCTAAAAGTAAATAAGTAATCTATGAAGGAAGAGTCTTATCAACGTTCTACAGGCTTATTGTTTAAAACAGTTTGGCACTGAACTGCATGTTCCTTGAGGGACTTCATCTTTCAGCTAATTTCATTTTTTCTTTAAAATTTAATTACATGTCTTATTCCCCCAAGAGAACTTATTAACTGTGTCTCTCTCTCCAAAGAGTTTTTGGTTCTCGTGAGACATGCTGCCTTTGGCTAAAAACTGCCAATTCCATTTCTGCTTCAGAAAAGAATTTTTTCTTTAGAAGAGTCAGAAACCATTACATTTTGTCCTTACTAGCACTTTTTATTATCTGTAGCTGTAACATTCTTGATCTGCCTAGAGTCCTCTCTATTATGTTATTTTCTGTTCTGATAAACCAGCTCTGCATAAATGATTCTTCAGCAGTTGAATTTTGCTTTATGAGGTTGCACGCAAGTAGATTATTTTAAAGAGCATGTGCCTAACTCCAAGAAGGGTTTTTGATGTACTGTGAACTTTGAAACCATGCATGAGATCTTCCTGTTTGAAGCCTTTTTTTTTCCTTAATGAAAATGAAATGTGTTTGCTTATGACATAAATTGCCCTCAGGATGTTACACAAATACATGATTAAATATATTTCTGCCGTGAAACAGTTGTTTTTTTTATTCAGTAATAAGCTACAGTGCGAAGCTGAGATCAAAATTAGCATGGCATTGAATTGGGGTTAGTTTGAGTGTTACTGTAGCTGGCTGCTGAGTTTTATATACTTTGGGTAGATTTGTTAAGAAGAAGGTTAATGCAGCATCAGTTATTCAATTGTCATGGGAAATGGAGGATATATTTGAATAAATGTGAGAATTTTTTGTGTAGATAGTGTGGGATGTGTTATTTTTAAAGGTAACATGAAGTTTCACCTGATTGAGGTTTGGGTAACTTAAGCTGCAGTGTAGTATGGTTTTGCTTTGTGAAAGGAGATCAGAGATCATTTCATCTTTAAACTATATAAATGGTATTTCAGTTTGTAAAATATCCAGTGTGTTTTATTTTTGTAATATTTTAACTGTTTCAGGTTCCTGGCTCAGTCTTGTGTCAGTCTTGCAGCCTCTCTAGAGTTGCTAGACCCGTGCTATGGATGAGCTACAGTGATGTCACATCAATGTTAAATGCATCTGTTTTAATGAGAGAGGGCCTCCAACTCTTGAAAAGTTATCTCTACTAATTTACAGAGCCTTGTGCTCATGCTGGGGGCTTACTGACGCATTCACAGCACAACAAGAATATTTTAAGGCCTGTTACAGCTCAGCTGCATTAAGCACTGATGTTCCATTGTAAAATTGCATTTGTACTTATCTACATAATTTACAACTGTGGTGGAAAGCACATCGAAAATGAGAGCCCAGGCTGTTTCTAGGCCTACAGTAGGTTCCTTGCGGATATTACCAAAAAAGAGAAATGGTATGTTCACAGTGGAAAAACAAAAACTTAGAATACCAGGGTTTGAACACCTGGTTTAAAGGGTGGTATTTGAATACCACAATTGAGGAAAAAATACATAAGTCCCATTTATATTATGAAAGCTAAGGAGAAATATGCACTGCATTTAACCTAACAGCTAGCATTCTCTGAATGGTAAATGCAAATAGTCATTCTTTCAATGAACAGACTAATATCTAAAGCAGGATTACTTTTGTGGAGTCCACCCTATATTTAGGGACCTACTTAAATCGCAGCAAGACTAAACAATATTTGCAGGTTTGCCATGAAGAGTAAATTTTGCAGCAATTTCCCAGATGTAGTTCACTATCCTCGCCCCTTGGTGCTGATTTGTGGAGAGGCCCCAGGGAGGAGGGACAAAGGGGGCAGCTGCCATCCTGTCTGCTACCCTTTGTGCTGCCCCACCAGCTGGCACCTCCTCCCCTGCCGCCCAGGCAGGCTGCAAGACCAGGCTGCAGCAGCGAGGACTGCTGGCTCCCACTGGAGAGCCAGCATTTCATTTTTATTACCTTTTTTTTAAGGTTGATTTCATGGACAATCCTGGATTTCAAGGTCTTCATGAAATCACGAATTGACTGGACCCCTACCTATGCTTGTTTGTCAGGAACTTCTTCATCAGTAAATGTCTTTCTCCCATTTAGCATGAAGATGTTTACCTCTAGAATAGGTAAGCAGAGAGGTCAAGGTCTGAATGATATTTTATCAATTCCATCTGAACAGGTTTGAGGTAAATTACTGGGGCCAGGTAGAGTTAAGTAGAGGAATTTGGCCTCCAGGCTTGTCTGTGTTGTCACTGAATTCACTGGGAAGTTTTCTAAAAATAAAGCATATATATATAATATATTTTTCTCCATTGTCTTTATCCCTGTATACATCTTATAAATAGATGTATATCCCTGTATACATCTATTTGTAAGATGTATACAGGAATACAAATGGAGAAAAATATAATATATATGTTGTGTGTAGAGCTGCAAATGTGCTCAGCACTTCTTTGTGCCACCTGTGAGAACAAGGCTTGCTATGTATTTGTTACTGTGCCCTGTGTGACTGCAGTATACAGTATGTTCTTTGATAAACTTCTGGGCCAGTGCTAATTAAACAGAGTCCTGATGAGTTGATCTTTTTTTAACCGGCACAAACCAAATGTCATTATTAGGAACAATGTAGTAGCTGATTCTGCTATTTAACAATATTTGAATATCTTGTGTTTTCCAGACACCCAGAGCATGTGAAAACTTCATCAAACTATGCAAAAAGAACTATTATGATGGAACTGTTTTTCACAGATCAATTCGTAATTTTGTGGTGAGTATTGAACAAATGCTACATGATGCACAGAAACTTTGTCTCAAAAATGGGAGTTGAATATGTTAACTAATTAAAGTTCCAGTTGCTTCCCCAGCAAAATTTACACAAGGTATATATTAGAGGTGAATAAAACACATGGAAACAAGGATTGTTCTAATGGAGTGAGAACGAGAAGTATAAATTGGATCATGTCACAACTTGTGTTGAATAGCATTGTCCCCCAACACCAAAGCCTACTAGTCACTGACTGAAAAAGATTCCTGTTGTCTTTGGTGAGTTTGGGTGCCTTGAGTCTAAAAAGGTTGAGAGCCACTGCCTCAGCCTTTTAAAATCCCATTTAGCTGCAACTTGGTTTTAGAAAGTATTGAAACTTGTTAGCAAAATTTTAACCACTTCAACTAAAACAATGAAGTTGTCCATTCCCGAGGGAGTTCTGGACCTGAACCCCGAGTTTTGTTATGCTAGGGTTAGGGAATACCAACCCAACTCTTGAAGGTTGACTTGGGTGTTTAATTGATCTCAAGCTACCAAGGACATGCTTGCTTCCATAAAAAACATTTATGTCATTTGTGTTCAGTGGTATAAAGGAAGGAAGAGAATGCGGACTGGGGATGGAGGGCCAGAGTATTTCCAGTCTGTAGCCTCAGTTCCATATGCTGAACAGTTTAGCTTCAGTGCTGTAGGTTGCTGAATCACACAATTTTGACCATAAAAATATTTATCCTGAAGGCAATATACACAGGTAATTTGCTGTGTTGGGACCTGAGTTCTCAACATTTTCTAGGATTAAGTCGTAAGTAAACAACCTCAGCCCAGGTTTCCTGAACTTTTGTAATTGCATGTGAAGGTTCCCCGGAGACAGGAAACCTTAATCCCAAAGCAAAGGTTTAGATTTTTTTTAAGAGCCAGATGTACACACTTAGCAGCCTGATTTGGGATTCTGAAAAATCATGTTTTGTGATATGAGATTTAATTTTCAAAACTGAAACTTCAATTTGGTTACTCAACATGCCTAACAAGTAGATTTTCCTAATGCATTTTTTATTTTGAATAAATATTTGTGTCAGATGTTGTTACAAGATGAGCTCTTGAGACATTGTGCTTGCTGCTTTGCCAGTTTATTCAGATGAATGCAAAAACCCTAGTATTTATTTGCATAGTCTTATCATAATTATTTCATCTTGATTTTTAGTTCCCATTCTGACGGTTTAGGACATTGCAGCCATTCTCTTGCATGAAACAGTGTTGTAATTCATTTTGGATCTTCCTTTCAAACAAATTAAAGGCCTGATCCTGAAGTCAATGGGGTTCTCTCAAGTGGCTTTAGAGAATATTAGATTGTTCTATCATCCTAAAAAAGTGTCACTTCCTTTTGATAACAACTTCAAAGGCAATATAAAAGGATTCTACAAGTATGTCAGAAATAAGAGGAAGACTAAGGAAAGTATAGACCCTTACTAAATGCAGGCAGCAATCTATTTACAGATGATGCAAAGGCCTTTATTTCTGTCTTCACAAATAAAGCCGGCTACCAAATGATGAGCACAGTTGGCAACAAAGACAGAAGAGACAAACAGCCTAAAGTAGTGAAAGAACAGATTGGGAATTACTTAGAGAAGCTAGAAGTTTTTAAGTCATCTGAGACGGATAGGTAACACGCTAGGGTACTGAAGGAATTGGCTGAGGTAATAGAGTCATTGGCTATCATCTTTGAGAAATCATGGAGGTCAGATGAGGTCCCAGGTGACTGAAAAAAGACAAATGTAGTGCCCATCTTTAAGAAAGGGAAGGAGGAGGATCCAGGGAATTATAGACCAGTCAGTTTGGCCGTGATAGCTGGAAAAATCATGGAGCAGGTCCTCAAGGAGTCTGTTGTGAAGCACCTAGAGAAAAACAAGGTGATCAGGAACACCCAACACGGATTCACCAAGAGCAAGTCGTACCTGATCCACTTGATTTCCTTCTGTGATAAAGTGGCAGGCTCTGCAGATATAGGGGATAGCAGTGGATGTGATATACATTCACTTTAGTAAAGCTTTTGACACTGTCTGCTATAACATTCTCATTAACAAGCTAAGGAAATACAGACTAGATGAAAGAACTGTAAGGTGGATACATGGGTAGATCATTGTGCTCAACAAGTCATCAATGACTCCCTGTCTAGTTGAGAGGAGGTATCAAGTGGGATTCCCCAGGGGTCTGTCTTGGACCCAGTGTTGTTTACCATAATCATGAATGATTTGGATGATAGGGTTGAGCGCATGCTTAGCAAATTTTTGGATGACAAAGTTGGGTGAAGTTGCAGACACTCCAGAGGGTGGTGCTAGGGTCCAAAATGACCTGGATAAACTGGAGTAATGGTCCAAAATCAATTGGAGAAAATTCAACAAAGACAAGTGCAAAGTCCTATACTTAAGACAGAACAATTGCATGCACAAGTACAGACTAGAAAATGTTTGGGTAAAATATGGTACTGCAGAGCAGGATCTGGGATTACAGTGGGATCTGGGATTAAACTGAATATGAACCAATAGTGTACTCTTGTTGCAAAAAAACTCAAGAGCATACTGGGTTGTATTTACAGGAGTTTCTTTTGCAAATTAAGGGAAGTTATTCTTCTGCTCTGTTTGGCACTGGTGAGGCCTCACCTGGAGCAGTATGTCCAGTTTTGGAACCTGAACATCAAGAATGTGGAGAGATCCAAAAGAGTCCAGTGGAAAGCAACAAAAATTATTAGAGGCCTGAGAACTGACTTATGAGGAAAGCCTGAAAGAGCTAGGGTAATTTAATCTGGAGAAGAAATTTGATAACAACTCTTCTTTAAATAGTTGAAGGGAGATTATAGAGAAGATGGAGATGGGCTTTTCTCTTTGGCTGTAGAGAACAGGACTAGGAACAATGTCCTCAAACTGCAGCAGAGGAAATGTAGTTTTGGGATTAAGAGGAACTTTCTGACTATGAGGGTGATCGAGCACTGGAGCAGGCTACCTAGAGAAGTTGTGGAATCTCCATCCCTGAAAATTTTCAAGAGCAGGTTAGACAGACATTTGGCTAGGATGGTTTAGTCAGGGATGATTCTGCCTTGAGCCAGGGGGCTGGACTGAGTTGACCATGCCAAGGTCTCTTCCAGACTAACTTTCCTATGATCATTTGTATACCTGAATTTAAAGTGGTGTCTTTGTGTGCTCTCACTGTTAACTTAGTTAACTTCCATGGTCCCCTTGCTAGCTGTAGGGCACCAGAAAACAAAATCTTTTCAGAGGTCCTCTGGAAACTGCTATTTCTGTGGAAGAAAGTTGGTTTCACTTTGCGATTTTTTATAGTGCAGTTAATGAATATAATTCCAGAAAAATGGAGCCAACGATGAAAAGCTGAAGGATGACAGCAAAACTTAAACACATTTTAAACTTTAAGTCTAGGGATTGTCAGCTGGGTGTTTTAGGCCATAGCAGGTGATCGAAAAAGTATTTTCTATTAATCCATATGAGACCATTTATCTTCCTCTGTTTGTAGACAAGAGAGCTATTATTTTTATAAAACTGTTACTCTGTTCCTGGATTAGTCATGTAACGTGACAGCTGATAAAAGAAGCTCCAAACTAGTGATAATGACTCTCCTGTCACTGGCTTGCACCCCAATGCCATTTAGAAGTAAGAAGAGTTGAGTAGAGTTTGCTTTTCCAGATATGTTTTATTCCTTATATCTCACTGATAAGGTAAAGTACATTTTACAGGAATATGATTTGTTTTTTAATTCTGCAGATCCAAGGAGGTGATCCTACTGGAACAGGAACAGGTAAGAATGCATGCCTGTGCATGAGAACACACATATTGGGTCAGTTTATTTTGGGTCTGTTTTTGAGTGCTGCCTTTTAATTCCTAGTGAGCCATGCTTAAAATCCCCTACACAAGTGTTTATGAATTGTACAGTCTAAAATTATGTGCAGCCCTTCAGAGAGACCCTATTTGCCCTTACCTTACTGTCTGGTTTTCAAAAAGATTAGCAAAGATATACCAGCCTCCCCAGCATGGAAGGAGCTAATGTTGTGAAGTGCTTTGAAAATCTATACCACTGTATAAAGGTAGATCTTACTGACTGCATATGGAGAGAAGGAGAGAGAAAATTTTCATGCATCACCTGGTCACAGTTCAGACTTCTGAAATTCGTAGAATCATAGAGAAGTAGAGCTGGAAGGGACCTCCAGAGGACATCTAATCCAACCCTCTGCTTGAATCAGGATCATCCCTATCAAACCATCCTATACAAATTCATTGTCTAACCTCTTAGCAAAACTACACAGTCAATCCTGAGTTTTGTTATTAAGATGGAAAAATACTGTGTGTTTTGAGTGAGGTTCTCTTCAAATTCAATATTAGAGAGATCTGCTTTTGACTTAATTCCTGCCAAAAAGTTGGTTGTTTGTCCCTCATAAATGTATCCGCTTGCTACATCCAGGGCTCTTGCCTTGTGCCATTTTTTATTCCTAGTCTTTAGGGATCATTTTGTCACCACTGTTTTCTTACCTATTCTTTCTTCCCAGCCTTGGTGTTTTGGACCCAATGCAGACAACCATTTGAGAAATGATAGGTTGATTAGAATAGATGTACATGGCAGCTGCTCCTATTTCTGCAGTGAAGGCTCCTCAGGGCATTGCGCACTGTATTCTGTATTATGATCCTTACCTGCTGCTATAAATTGTCTCTGCATGCAGCTGCACATATCACTTTGCCTATCCACTCCCAAACATCACTAGCTGCCACAGCTGTTAGGCAGGTCCTGTGTTTCCACACTTTTTGTTATACTCCTAATTCATGTATGCACCACATATTCTTTTGTATACTCAGTCTGCTTATCCAAAGAGAGGTCTGTGTAACTGTCAGTCTGGAAATTTTAAGGCTGGCCAAGACCACCACTGCTGATGGGCATAAAATTAATGAGGGATTATGTGATTGTTTGGGTGCAAGTAGTTGGGGAATTTGTTTTGGCTGCCAAAGCCCATTGATGAAACCTTGTTAATATAGATTTCATATTCTTGGACTGTTAAAAGAAAGGTGATCTTATTCTGTTAGAAGACAACTATTAGTTCAGAGTCCCATAAGGTATAATTAGGAACATCTTTAACAAGAGAAATCAAAGAGCTGCTGTTAGGGCTAGAGGTACTTAGCTGGATTAATGTGATAGCCTTTCAACTCTCTGGGCTGGAGTTCATTTCATTGTCGGGGGAAATAAATTAGTTGGGGTCATTCTAGGTTCCACTTCTGGAAACTGGAACCGGCGCGAACTGCAACACAACTGGCAATGTATAGAAAAGCAGTCTACAACTGGCAAAGCAGCTGTGTTGCTGCTCTGGACCCAGTTGCACTGTTGAATGCAAATAATACACATTAAATGCAAATAAATACAGGGTGGGACAATCCCCAGTGTTTTCTTTTCTTTTAGAAGATAAATTAGCACAAGGTAGAGAGAGGAGATTTAATTTTTTCCACCCTGTTTTCTTTAATTTCATTTTACTTGAAAATGAATATCCTACAGACCTGCAGCAGCTCTCCTAAAACTGTCAGCTTACCACCCAAGTGGCTCTGACATATCCCAGTAGCCCTTTAAAAAGGAACTGTCATTTAGGGAGCATCCCAACATTGCAGAAATATGCTTTTCAGTTGAATACTTTTTTCTTTTTTTCTTCTTTTTTTTTAGGTCTAAATTTATAAAGACCATAACTTGAGTTGCAATCAATTAATGTTAGAGTGAAGAGGCACTGGGCTCCTACAGGACTCTCAGGCCCTTGTTTTTATGTTGGTTAAAATGAAACAATTTAAACAATTAGGGGGAAGATCTTTGAGATTTGTTCTTGATTACCCAGCAGATTCTGCAAAGCTGAAAGTGGTACAACCCCAGCAGGCTTTTTTCTTGCAGACAGTTTTTTGTCTGCTTGATTCAGCTAGTATTTGCTACTGTCATCTAATTGTTGCATTTGATTTTTTTATACTTCATTAAGCACTCTACCGGCTCTGATCATACTTCCTTGCTTTTCGTGGCACACATGGGGAGAGCAAACAGCTCCAGCTACTCTATCAGCACTTCTGACAGTGGAATGTGTGTTGCCTTTTAAGAAATACATTTTTGAAACATTCTGATTGAGACCATCTTGTAGACTCTCTTTCTCAGCAGTGAGCACAATGAGTGTGAATTTTCTTAAAATGTAAAGTCAAAACCCTTTCTTCCCCCTCTATAATTAGTTCGGCAGGTCATAAAACAAATGAATCTGAAGTATGAAATAACTGTTTTGATACTTAAAACAGCAAGCTAAAATGTTATAATTAAAATATTCAAAATCCTTTTTAATTTACAGCTGATTAAATTGGGAAGCCATGGATTTCTTCATCTCTGGTATTCAAATGCTGAGCTATTGTATTCTCAGGCCCTGGGCTGCTGAAAACAGCTGCCATCCTGCACTGCTGTTGTTTCTTCTGCTACAGTGTTACTGCATTACACTTATTATTTTAAGCAAAAACTCAGCCCAGCTCTGCTCACAAGATGGCTTAATTCTTTTCTCTGAGTGCCTGTGTAGAAAGGTCAGGATTATTTTCAAACCAGCCCCTTATTTAAAAGTTCAGAATAATCCGTGTTTTGATTTCAGAGTCCTGGAATAAGTCCACAGAGCAGGAACTTGGTACAAATGGCTAAAAATAAGTTATTTGAACTTTCTAGTTATTCTGTAAGTTTGTACTAAAGGGATGATTGGTATAGAAAATAGCTACAGTTCTCATGTGTCTGCGCTGGCACTGTTGTACTACTCTAGTCTTTTTTTTTCTAGCGGTATCGTGGATACCTGTTGCTACCACAACCAACTCTGGTTAACCAGCAAGTAGTCAGGTAAAAGGGAAATGGCAGATGCTACAAATACAGCCACAGCTGTCCTTAGTAGGCACTAAGCTTGTCTTTCTGGTTGACTGAGATGTTGAAATTCTCCACTAGAATAAAGTTGAAAGTTCAAATGTCTTATTTACAAAGCATAGATCCAAACTGCATGACAGTCGATAGTTGTGATCTGGCTACGTACTTCATATGGTAGCAGCCCTTCATTGAAGAAGTTTATTATTGTTTGGAAGATTGAGGAGAGGAGGAGCTGCGATGGTGTCAATGGTGTGAGAACCATCTCTACTTTTTTAGATACATTTTTCAACATTGTGCTCTTCAGCATTTCTGAGGGAGTATCTGCTGCATACTGTAGAAGGAAAACAGATCTGCAGCATCTTTACCCTGAGAAAACCGGAAAGAAAAAAATAATTTGGGGCTTTAACAGCAGAAAAGTAGATAAGAAACCGTTGTCTGGCAACTGTATGCAAGTGTATGCAGGTTGGAAAATCTCATATACAGAGGAAAGTTTAAATATAGACGAGGAGACAATTGCAGTGTTTACTGTGTGTGTGTGTGTGTGTGATGTTCACAAGGTGTACAAACAGCTTCAGGTCATTGAAACCAATGCACATGTAGGCAGATCTAACAATTGCATCATAATCAAAGGATATCATATAAGCTGTTATGCTGTAACTAGTTTTTGTATGATTCTGTAACAATACAAGTGTAGCAAAACCACACTCATTTAACTTTGTCAAGGGTTTAGCTAAATTGTATTGATTACACACTCATGCCCACGTGAGACTGAGTGAGTGAGAGCGAGGAGGAGGAGGGGACATACTGATGTAAGACTGAGAGGGGGGGAGAGAAAATAGTGGAGAAGACTGCCTTAAGAGCTTCTGGCCATCCTTCTTCAAATTAGCTTAAGGACTGAGTTTTGGGTGATTAAAACATGACAGCTGTTCTTGTATGCATTTTTTTATGTCCACAGATATATAAATACACACTTACTGTAGCTGCAGAAATTCTGTGGATTCCCAACAGTTTGGTTGCTCAGAGTTGTTTTTGAGGATTTTCTTGTCATTTTGTCAACTCTGAATTTACAGTTCAAAACTTGACCAACAGGATATATATTTGAAGTCTCAGAAAGCAGAAATCATTTGCTCTGAATTTTAAATAGGATCATAATTTTCTGAAAGTGAATTGTTCAACTTTTTCTTTATATTGGCCTCAACTTGCACATCCCCTTTTACCTTGTCAAGTATGTAGCTCAGTGATGCCAGTTTTTAACGTATGCCCACAGGCAGCCAAAGGAACATAAAATTATTGTGATTTTTTTTCAATGTAAGTAGTTTTAATGTCGTTATAATTTAAAGAATTGCTTAGTTTGTAGGTAAAATGTCCCAACAATCAGAGCGGATGAACTTGATTAACAGATTTCACAGAAATTCTAAATTGTACTCTATTTTGTAGTTCTTGCCAAATTACACTATGTTTATAAAGTCAGGAACACCAGTGACTAGCACTCAAATAAAGAAACTACTTCTGCTACTGATAAAACATGGCACCATTTGAGTATTGTCAATTTTAATTGAAGTTAGGTGCCCAACCAGTATTTATACCTTTGGAAATGTCTTGCCTGATTTCTGAAGCATTGACATTGTATGCCTTTCAGGATTTGTGTGTGACAGTAACTGATAAACAGATTAGGAAAAATTCATCTTTCAAAATAAACAACATACTCATGCCTCCACTTTCCCTCCCTCAGTGATCTAGAAGTTAACAAACGTGGTCCATAGTCAGTGTGGGATTTGTGTTTGAGAGTCGCAGTAACACTAGGGGTGTGCAAAGCGGGCCATATTCGATTTGGATTTGACCTGATTCGGGGACAGTGATTTGATTCGTTGATTTGGATCACTGTCCTGATTCGATTTGGC